CACATCTCACAACATACTACAACATGGTGAAATAAAAACTCCAAGAGTCAAACAAAACTGATTGCTTTCTCTTGGAAATAGCCACTTTATTTTGTTTGTTCAGTCTGTTAATGAAATACCTTCTTTCTAAAACAGATTATTAAAGCATTGTTTATTTATTTACTGAAACATCCTTCAGAGCTACATGAAGTTGGTTTGTGTGTGTGTTAGCTTGTGTGATGATTTTTCGAAGTGATGTATACATGCTAATAATTTCCCCCCCCCCAGGCTTTAGTCCTTTAAGAGAAGGCCATCTCCTCACCTCTTTGAAGTTTCTCAAACTTTCCACTGATTGCAAATGGCTGTGTTCAACATTCAATGTAGAACTCATGTATTCGCTGGAGGACTTCGTTAGTGGAACTGCAACCATTGTCTCCCGTTTGTGGAGAAGATAGGCCACTCTGAAGGACAAGCTACACATGTCTCCTTCTGTCCTCAAGTTTCTCCCTTACCCTCCATCTGTTCTTTCTCTCCTGTTCCAGGATGAAAGCATCATTCCACCGCTCAGCAATTTGTTTTCTGGATCACAAATCTCTGACTTCTTTTAAGCGTACTTGGCCTCTCATTCTTCCTTCGCTGGCTCTTCTCCCTCGGATAAGTTCAGTGCAGTTCTCTCAGGCTCAGGAAGACAAACATTCCTTTTGTTCTAATTCCTTCTGAAGTAACCACCCTCCCTCCTCGCATCTCATGAGTGAGCCGGGGACTCTGTTCCATCTGCCTTTGCCCAACTCCTTTCCGCCTTTGCCACATGGGGATACACACCTAAACCACCAAAGGCAAAGGTTTTTTTATTTCCTAGGTGTTGTTAAACCTCTCTCAGGATATATAACATGGCTTTTCAATGAATCTTGTTCTTTATTTGGCTTCTCTGACATCCCATATCATCATGATAAACCAATTTTAACTCTGGTGGTTTGATCCCTAGCGAGTTGCACCGCTAACCCAAAGGCCATGTGTTTTAGCTGGTCCAAATCCACCAGCCATCCTTGGAAGAATGATGGAGAATCCCTTCTCATTACAACTCATAACCTCACAGCCCAGTGGAGGACCGCTCTGAGTCAGAACCGACTTGATGATAGTCAGCAAGTGAGTCACTGTGTAATTTCTTGAATGTGACTCTTTCAATCACTTCATTTTTCCTGATTATCTTTCTTCTTATTTGATGCTTTCTCAGCTAAACTTCTAGTTCTCAGTGCTAACTACTTTCAGACTTCCCTGGTACAACCTCTCGTTTCTAATTATAGCTTGGCATTTCTTCCAAGGATTTCAAAACTAGCCCATGCAAACCCAAACTCACCATGTTGCCCAGTCCTATGGACCTTTTGATTTGTTTACTCAGCTCAGAAGGGACTCCTCACTCCTTGGAAGCAGCCTTAGGATGATTCCCTAGGGGTATCTGACCTGATCCTATGGACACACTCGGTTGGTTGGCACTGTGGTGGACGCTTGGCTGAGACCGGGCCATTTAAGTACACTCTCCTAGTTTTGAAGTGAGAGAGACAAAGACTTGGACAACATGTTAGTTAATACGTGGTGCCATTTGAAGGAAAAGTCCATGAATTCCCATTGCTGAGGTCTCTTAGAGCTGGCCTGATGCCCCACTCTTTCGGATTAATCCAGCTCTTCTATGGTTCTCTACAACAGGAAAGTTTTAGCGAAGTCATCATTTTGTGGTTAGGATTGATTTCTAACCACAAGTAGAGAGTTGGTGGTAGTTGTTGTTGTTTGTTGTGTACCGCAGGGTTGGAACCAGCCCACAGCTGACCCTCCAGCAGTTTACCACCATCCTCCAGATGGTAGAAGCATGTTTATTTACACTAGTTCTGGTGGCCTAGTGGCAAGTAACTGTACTGTAATTCTGAAGGTGCGTGGTTCAAATCCACCAGATGCCCCACGGGAGGAAGGGCAATCTCCTCCTGTGTGATTAACTGCCTCTGAAAACCGGCCAGAGGGTCTGCTATGGGTCTGTTCTGACTCTATGGTACATAAGAACAACAGTGCTGTTACTGTGTCCACGGGGTGGAACTCATAACTGACCCTCCTATGGATTTTCAGAGGCAGGAAATCACACGGGAGAAGACGGTCCCTCTTCCTCCCACAGAGCACCTGGTGGATTCATACTCTGTGCCTTTGGATTGGCAGTGCGGCACTTTACCACTAGTCCACCACAGCTGAACAATGGGGCCGCCAAGTCTTCCCCAGAATCTTGCATTTTGTTAGGGACCTACTTATGCTCTCACTCAGAAAAGGCTTGCTTTTCCTAATAAGCCCACATCCAGAGCACCTAAACCATGTTGATCTGACCGCCAAAATAATCTCCCTCTTCTCCAGGTCCTCTGCTATTACTCTGGTTCTAGTCCTTGTGATTTCTTCACTGGTCTTGTTCAGAGCTCTAGTGTAAATTTTAATCATCTCCTGTCTCTGCCTAAAACCCAGAGGCTACGTCGAAGCAGCAAAGACTCTGCCCATCCTGGTGAACACAAAGACAAGGCTTATCTGCTGTTCCCAAGCCTTCTTCACCTCAGCCATGCATGTCGACCAGGCTTCTCCAAACCCTCCTCTATGATATTTATAGCACTGTTCTCTTTGGCCTTGGACAGATCTTACCTCTTTAAGGCATATCTTAAGTCTTTACTAATGCCATAAAGATAAACTCTCCCCCCATCCTCTGGACAGGGCATAGTAGACATACTTTTTATTCATTGCCCCTGTTAGACTGTAAGGTACATTCTGTGCTCGATTCTAGCCATTGTAGCAGATGACTGAGAAGTGAATGCTGAATAAATGGACCGTAAGCCATCTAGTAGGTAGGGCGCAGGGTGCAGACCAAAAGTGGTTTGAATTTACCAGTTGCTCTGGGGAAGAAAAGATGGGCAATGTCTTCCCATTGGGATTTACAGGCTCTGAAAACCTGCTGGAAGGTCAGCTATGATCTCCAGACTTGATGGCAGTGAGAGCAAGAGAAATGCCATCAAAGAATTACCAGAATCCATGAAGGCCCAAGGAGACTTAATTATCTCCTATTATCACTGCTCATCTTCTTCCTTTACCTAAGTATATGTGATAAAATGGCACAAAACTAAACACACACCTTTATACCACAGCCAATTTCCCGGGTTTTACATAACCAAGCTACTGGAAAAGCTCCCAGCAATTCATTCTCTCAGCATATCTGGTTACCATTAAGAAGTTTATGTAACTTTGCCCCCTGTTGGTTCTATTATATACTTATGCTGTTGTTGTTTACCATCAAGTTGGAACTGACCCTTTGGAGAGTTTACAGAGGAAGTTAACAGCATGCAAGGAGACAGCCCATCTTTCTCCCATGGAGCAGCTAGTGGATTTGAACCATATGCCTTTGGGATTGCAGCACAGCTTCTTACCACTAGGCTAGCAGAGCTCCCTTATATCTGTTTTGTTGTTTACCACAGAGTCAGTAGTGACCCATAGCTGACCCTTCAATGAGTTTTCAGAGGCAGTTAATTGGCCGGGAGGAGATGGCCTAGCCTTCTCCCACAGAGCAGCAGGTGTCCTCGAACCAGCTGTATGCCTTAGAAATTACAGTGCAGTTTCTTACCACTAGGCCACCAGGGCTCCCTTATATCTAGCATCCACCAAGTCAGCATTCTACACTGTACTTTGGTACCCCCTGGCTAAAAGCTTGTATGCAGTTACCTGAAGTACAAGTATTGGTCTCTCCCCTTAAGGTACCATTCTCATATCCTACCTTCCTGCGTCTTGTGGTTATTGCCACAGTCAGGGAGAAAGAGAGATGGGAGAGTTGTGTATGTGGGCTAACAGATTATGCCACAGAACCCAGGCTTCACTATCTGAAAAACATCATACTGATGAAATTGTGCTTTTTAGACTTTAAGGAGATAGCTCTAACTTTTAAAGATCTTTTTTCAGAAAGTTTTTGTTGTTATGTGCCATCAAGTCAAAACTATCTCATAGCTGACCCTCCAGCAGGTTTTCAGAGGCATTAAATCCCCCAGGAGGAATGGAGCAGCAGGTGAATTCAAACCATGTAACTTGGGTTGGCAGTGTAATTAAGGAATTCTGGTGATGCAATAGAAAGCTGTGGTGGCCTAGTCTATGGGGAGTTGCCCTACTAACCCAAAAGCCAGGTCTCTCTGGCAGTTCAAATCCACCAGCAGCGCTTCATGGAAAAGATGAACAGTCTTCCTCTGGGTAATTTACAACCTCAGAAACCTAATGGAAGCCAGCTAGGGTCAGCTCTGATGACTGTGAATGAGTCGTGACATAGTGGATCAGTGCTCAACTGCTATTGGAAACCACCAATTGTTGGACAAGAGGAAGAGGTGGCATTCTATAGAGTACTGAAAGAGTTTGACTTTGAGATCACAGAATTTCTAACGCTCTGCCTTTGGGTGTGGAGAGTAACCTCCTCTGGACTACACCACCAGAGCTCCCTGTAATTTATAATGCATGCCAACACACATTAACTAATTTAATATTTCCCCCCCTGCAATTTAAGAAGCAGGTAAAGGGCATTCATGCCAGTGTGTAGGCGAAGGGACAGCCAGGTCACATAGCTCAAACAAGGTCAACAGGAAACTGTGCCTTCCAGCCTCTGATTCCGTGTTCTTTCTCTCTTGCTACACCACGTGACCCCTCCCAAGGCAGTGTGTGAAATACAACAAAACTGGCTGTTTTCAAAGTGTGTAAACTTGTCTCTCATTTTTGTTGCTGTGCATGACCACAGTTAATCACTGTTCTAGGGAAATGAACAACCCAGGACAGAAACATTTATTCTATTTCCCTGCTATTCCCCAAAACTCTGATTTGATGGCAAAAATAGTTTATTTTTATTTTTTTTTAATAAAGCTTTTTCCATGTTACCACCCCCTGGTCCCTCAGGTTCACATTAGGAACAAGAATCTGAATGTGTGGGTATGGGTATGAGCTGGAAATGTGTGCATGTGCATCTATACAGTAAGATACAGGTTTCTTTAAATGGCCAAATTGATATTTTTGGAGGCTGTTTGAAGCATCTTATCAAAAGAAGACACATTTAAGCGAGAGGCTTTTTTTTTTTTTAAAAAAAAGCGCATTTCAGACCCAAAGGCCATTTAATACAATAAATTCTACTTGAATAGTTTAGCAAACATTTTTTTTAAACCCACATCCAACAGATTAGTCAGTACTGGTTACACAAGATTTGGTTTCAAAGCTGAAATGCCCCTGGTGTAATAGACTTTTTGATGAAATTCAGTTATTTTACATTATGCCATAAAAAAGAAAGATGCAACTTAAATATTAATGCAAGAGGCTACCTGGTGATATAAATAGGAAAAAAAAAGTGGTCATGGACTAGGGGTGAGACTATGACCCCAGTCTATCTTGGACTGCAAAAGATGTTTAAAATCTATCCTAGAGTTTAAAACAGGAAAAAGAGTCAAATATTCCACTTGACACAGTACAGTCCCCACAGCTGGCCCAAACCATCCCCTAAGGATACACCCCTGACACGAGGTGACTAACCACCTGCTACAGATGTTCCTATGTCACTAATTAACAATGGTCACCAAAAATGTGTCATACATAGGCTTTGTTATCACACGACGCACTAGTGGCTGCAGGAATCTTCCTCTGAAGGCTACCATAAGAAGGCAAACCGACAAAATGTCCCACAGCTAAGAGACAGGGGCATATGCTTGTGCTCTGAGCTCTCTTGGGCACACTCCCCACTCCAGGTAGAGTGGCTGGGGGCGGGGAGGTAGCCTCTTCCTACTCCTGGGCCTCCTTGCGGGTCAACTTGTAGATCTCGGTGGGTCCATCCACGTGGGTGATAGTGGTGGTGAGCTGGAGTTCTTCCCCACTGTGGACGCCCAGATCACCTGAAACAGGGGTTTGGGGTGTTAGACGTGAGTTTAAGAAGAAAGTAGAAAAAAGCAAAAATTCATCTCTAACAACCATCCCAACCACCAGGCACTCTGAGGCCAGGGAGAAAACCAGGGCTTATCAAATGCACAAGAGGTTACATCCAGGGTTTCCACTTGGCCCTTGCAGTATTCTTTAATAGAGCATATCTCCCAGAGAACAGTCGTCACCAGTGAGGTACAGGTTAGATCACTGCAGATATTATCTGTAGCAATTACTCACATCTAATGGGAGATTACATTGTGCCTGACTCTGCCCTAAGTGCTTTACACATGATCTTCTGAGGGAGGTTCTGTAATCACACTGACTTCACAGATGGGGACACTGGGAGGTCAAGTCCCAAGGGGGTACAGTAGACACAGAAGAGCTGGAGAAGCATCTGACTTGAAGGCCCACACTGTGTGCAAAGCAAGTACCACGTGCCTCTGGGCTGATGAGAGTAGAGGCCATTGTGAGGAATTTCCAGAGTGGCTACATCATGCGTGGTTAACAAGATCTGCCTTTATTGGGCAAGGCCATATATGCAATACATTAGAACAGTCACAAATTTTCATTTTGAAGGAAGAATTACAGACATGTGCTCAGAATTTTCTCCTCCCCTCTACTATTCTGTGTTTTGAATGGACAGAATGATTCATCTGATAAGGTGAAATAATGTGCCTTTTCTCAGTTGGGCTGTGGTGTCGGGAGGTGGGGAGAAAGCACATTTCTGAAGGTTAAATCCTCAGATGGCCACCTCCTATAGAATAATGAATTCTCACTAATTCGCGGGCTGTGTTGTTGAAACCTCCTTGCAGCTGGGCCTCCATTAGCTATAAACTGCATGGGAGATGATTTCCATCTTTCTCCTGTGGATGGATTTGAACCACTGGGAAGATGTGATCTTTGGGTTAGGAGCTCCCTATGCACTAACTACATTGTCAGAGCCCCTTTTAGAACAATTAAGTGAATGTAAAACTTTCTACAGCTAATCAAGTAGATTCTGACTTTGTGACCCTGGAGGACACAGAGAAAGACTGTGAGCTTATGGGAGCAAGATACCTCATCCATCTCTGGTGGAAGGGCTGGTAGGTTAGAACTGATAACATTTCATTAAGAGCCAAATCCTTTAACCACAGCACCACTCCAGCTGCTTGAATGTAGAACTAGGAAAGGGAAATGAAAAAGTTGAGAACTAATCACATTCAGTTAGATGCGTCATATGTGGGTACACGTAAAATTTAGGGGTGACATACTGAGAAATAAAAGCTAAATATGCCTCTGTTCACTTATGGTATTGTCTCTTATTTTCTGAGACTGTGTTATAAAACAATGTTTTCAGCTGGGATGGCATCCCATGACTTAGAAGAAAGCCTTAGCCCAACTGATCGGTCTAACATGCTGTCCCTAGTCATTATCCTGTCAGAACTGTTGTTGTTGTTATGTGCTGTTGAGTCATTTGCGACTCATAGCGACCCTATGTACAACAACCGTAAACCATGCTCTATCCTGTGCCAATCTCATTGCCTCTGACACACCCATCCCGATTACCCCGGTCACTGAATCAATCCACCTCATAGAGGGTCTTCCCCTCCTGCGCTGTCCCTCCACTCTACCCAGCATGATGTCCCTCTCTAAAGACCTGTCTCTCCTCACAACATGTCCAAAGCATGACTTATCTTTCACTACTCCACAAATTGCTGTCTGTCAGACCTGTCAGAACTAGAAATCTCAAATCAAGGCATCACAAACCTGATGGTCTCAAAGCAACAGAAGTCACCATTTCTACTGGTCCTGCAGGGTGACTACCAGTGTCCTCCACACGTGCCACATGTTTCATCATTGTAAACCACAATCTCAGTGTTTATGCAGTAGTTATCATATTATTAAATGCTGGCTTGTCACTCTCTCTACTCAAGAGCTTCCCTAGCCTCTGCATCGCCAGAAGTTGTTCTGGAGGACTGCTAATGGCACATGGGGCTGTTTCGGTAATAATCTAAGCCACAGAACTGAAGATAGAGAAAATTCTAATAGGTATCAGTAGATCAGTAACCTAGTCTTAAACTCTTCAATTTACATCCATCCTTGGGCCAGGATACTCCTCAGTCAAGCCCCTATAGTAAAACTCACATTCTTTGGGCACAGCCAGTTCTAGATTTGCCTATCGGTAGGAGTCATCAGAATTACAAAGTCCATTTGGAAAGCTGGACGTTGTGTGTTCCATAAACATTTCTAAGATAGTCCTGGCCAAGCCAGTGGACACATTATCACCTCCAAGTGTTTTATCTAAGGAATCCCTTTCACTGAAGACTTCTTAGAAACAGACACCAGAGTACAATTCTATTGAGGTTTTGAGCTAAAGCAATTTCTCCTTTAACCTTAAAATAAAGTTCCTGTTTCCAAGTAGCAGGTCCCAGAAAAAGTATGTGAGCCTGAAGATCACCTGAAGAGACGGAATTCATGCCTGTGACTTCTTTATTTAAATGTGCTTATCATATGCCTGTGACATCTTTCCAAACATGTCACATATTGGCTATCATCACATCAGTCCTCTGAAAGATACTCTTACCATTCTCCTGATGAAGAAATTAAGGTAATCAGTGGTCGACTAACATGCCCAAGACACAAGCTGGCAAACAGTGACTACTGAGTCCAAATCCAGGCACTGAGGCTCTAGAATCCAAGTTCTCAACCTTTAAATGATGCTGCCCTTAAATAGCCATGCTTCCTTCCACTTCTAAGAATCAAATCCCTATGCACATCCAAAAACTTCTCCAACAGAGCAAGAAGGAAAGCTACAGATTGGGGAAAAAATATTTGGTAATGACATGTCAGATAAGGGACTGACATCTAGAATTTATAAAATACTCAAGCACTACAACAAGATAAAGGCAAATAATCTAATTGAAAAACTGGCACAGGATATGAACAGACACTTCACCACAGAAGACATTCAGATGGCAAACAAGTACACGAAGAAATGTTCAAAATCCCGAGCTCTAAGAGAGATGCAAATCAAAACAACTATGAGATATCATCTCACCCCAGTAATAGCAAACTTTAACAGAGCAGCAAACAACAACAAATGCTGGCGAGGTTGCAGAGAAACTGGAACTCTTAGTCACTGTTGGTTGGAGTGTAAAATGGTGCAACCACAGTGGAAGGCTATATGGTATTTTCTCAAAAAGTTGCAAATAGAAATACCATTTGACTCAGCAATTCCTCTACTGGGAATACACCCTAAAGAAACCATAACTGTCACCAAGGCAGATATATGCACACCCGTGTTTATTGTGGCCTTGATCACAATAGCAAAGAGGTGGAAACAACCTAAGTGTCCATCAACAAATGAATGGCTAGAGCAGCTCTGGTATATTTACACAATAAAATACTATGCTGCATTGAAAAACAAGGAACTCATGCAATATTATTCAAAATGGGTGACATTGGACGACACTATGCTGCGTGAAATATCTCTGTCACAAAAGGACAAATACTGCATAGTGCCACTGTTGTAGAACGGGACTGACATCAGGGTTGAGAAGAGACTGAGAAAAATTGGATAAATTATGTAATTGCATTGAAACAGATGAGGGAGAGAACAGTTTAAAAGCAATATATGATTGGATATTATGGTTATGACATGAGTCCAGAATGAAGGTTGCATAGTGGAGAGTACAGGGGGGTGGGGGAATATGGGGAGACTTGTATACCAATGAAGGAATTTTTCTTTTACTTTTCAAGGAGAGGAGTGAACTGGGGGGGAGGGGTGGGCAGGAAGAAAAGTTCAACAATGAATGAATGGAAATCCAAAATCTCTGTAAATGTTCATTAAAATTAAAAAAATTAATAAATAAGAAAAATTTTTAAAAAAAGGATATCAACTCTAAAAAAGATAAAACCAGTTGAAACAAACAAAAAAAATAGCCATGCTTCCAACAGCTCATGACATTACCAGCGTGATGTGTGAAGCCTGCATGCAAGGCATTCCAGCTATAAATATTTCCATCTAATAATGAGGATGCATTGTTCGGCATAATACTGTGAGTGGAGAGAATTTACAGCTTATGTATTACTGGTGCACTGTTGGGAGCTTAACATGCCCTGTATGTCTTTGATAAGATGGGCATCATATTTTACGGATGAAGACATTAAGGTTCAAATAGCAATTAATTTCTATTCTTGGTCACAACAGAGATGAGCTGAAGAACCACGTCAACAGGACTCCAGGTAGCAAAATCTATGGTTTGCATGTGATTTTATTATATTTCTGGCTAAACTGTTCTTAGGGAATGGAGGTAGGATTTGGCAGTCAATCAGGAGTCGGGAGGTCTCCTTTTGTCTCCAAACCCTCACTTCTACCTAGGCCTTTGCATCATTTGTTATTCTCCTTTTCTCTCATTGGCTCCTACTCTTCAGAGCATGAACTTGCTCAAAGTCTCTTCCCAAACTATTGTTGTTGTCAGAACTGAATTATAGCTTGCATGGGAGGAACCTACCCATCATGGGAGGAGCCTACCCATCATGGGAGGAGCCTACCCATCATGGGAGGAGCCTACCTATCTTTCTCCTGAGGAGCAGCTGGTGGATTTGAATTGTGAGCTCTTGGGTTGGCAGTTATCCTTACAACTAAGCCCCCACTGCTCTGTCTTTCTGACTAAGACAAACAAAAACTCCTTCTGATGTATTTCTTACTAGTCAAGGGGGCAGAAGAGTTAAGAAAGAAAAGACATCCAAGATTTACCTTGGGTCTTTCTCCCCAGTTATGAGTTCATCTCAGCTATTTAACAACAATAATTAATTAAGGCTTATTTCCTCCTGGAATTTGTGGATGATACAAATGGTTAAGACTAACTGAAAAGATGGAGCTTCTTCATAGAATCAGCTGCTGTTCTCCACACTCTGACACACATGAAGTTTCAACGGCTAGGCTACTGGACTGTTTCTTCTGGCAGAAGAGTGTTTCTATTTAATCTCA